AGCAAATGCAACAGCTAGGAGTTGTACAGATACAATGTAACAGCTAGGAGTTGTACACATACTCTCAATCTCATCTCAGATAGCAAACTAAAGAAACAGTAATTAAGAATGGTAAGCAAAGAAACACATGGCTAGGTTTTTTGCTTTGATTTCTAGTAACTGAAGGCTGGATGCAACCTGAGTCCTGTGCTAGTAACAAATCACAAACTATATTTTTCAGCAATTCTGTTTTCATTTATTGGTCTGTGACTCTTGCTAGCATCAGTAGAAGGAGATAATGGTGACTTGAGGTGGTGGTCAGTTTACGCTTTTGAACATGGATTTTTTTTTTTTTTAAGTATCAATTTATTAAAAATGTAATAAAAGGATCATTTCAATAACAAGCCTTCATTAAAAATAGTTTTACTGTTCAATTGAATAGCTAAATAATTAACCATAGCTTTATCTGAATATAATTATTCACCTTCTTAATTTCAGCTCAAAGGCAAGACTAATGAGATAGCTGAAAATCTAATGATTACTTTATCTGTCATTGATAGAATTCTAAAATACTAGCGGTCAAGGAGAGTGCAAAGCTTTTACTGTTCTGCAGAGGCCATGTGAGAAACACTTATCTGAACCAAGGAATGGAACATAATCTGCATTCCAGGCAATACTATTTTGATCATCAGCTTGGAAATTCATCTTGCAGATATTTTTCAGCTGATTTCCCTGAATGTCTCTGTTATCAAACAAATAAATGAACAAAGAACAGAAAGCCCCACTGCAGTGATTTCTAATTGTATAAGAAAGGGCATTGTGTGGCTACTGTCATTACTGGTTTCATTTTGTATTGAAATCATATAAATTTAAACAATGGATTCAGATGACTGATCATATTTTTCTAGAACAGGAAAGATATTTCAACCTGATATTTGTGTGCTTTAATCTGAGTATGAGTAGAAGACACCACCAAATATATGACAGAATATATTGCATTCCATTAAAACACCTAATTATTTATTCTTTTTCCTATAAGAAAATATTGCATCCCTAAGAAAAGGAACTACAGGAACTTGCATTTTTGTGATTTGATCAAAAATGTATGCCTCTGTATTCCAGCCAAGTCTGAGCATGAATCTCCTGAATTGATTTTAAAGAAATCAGACTTGGCAGTATCCCTCAGGTTACAGAGAATGATTCTCCATTTAAAACAATGCAGCATCCATCCACAGTGTGTACTGAGAAATAATGTGCCTCCTCAAACTCTGTCAGACAAAGAAAAAAAAAATCTGTGGTATGTGGCAAACACACACACACAAAATCCCATCGTAAGAACTCTGGTGGTAGCAGTAGGGAATGAACTACTGATGATCTACATGCTTCTACTGATGCATAAAGAAACATCACTGTGAGACATTAGGCTGCCTCTAGGAATTCATCATCTCTGGGCATCAGAAAATAGGTGTACTGCATCACATAAAATATATGGATTTTTATTAGGCAAATAAACCTGCAAACTTAAGACACCATATCACACTGGTTTTACATACTGGCATGTTTGAAAAAATTCAAAATATCTCACAGTAGTTTAAAGTATACATAGACTAACATCATTAAGTTCTAGCAAAGTGTTCTAGTAATTCTGTTAAACCTTCTGATTTTTTGTTCCTCATGATTACATTGTGGCTACTTTTCAACACAATGGTATTTAGCACTTCCAACTCCTATACCAGAATAGACATTTTCTTTGGGAAATTTGCTCTAATACATTTAATATATATTGCATATAATGCAACACTGGAATTCTGATAGATGTTAGTAAGAGAGCACCAAGTTTTCTTTACTAAACACTCAGGGTTTGGATTTTGTAAGTTCTGAGCATCTACTTTACTGGAAATCATCAGGATTTCTGACTGACAGTTACACTGTCAGAGGTTGAAGATTTGAAATGTTATTATTTTTCTCTATTAATTTAATCATAAATCAATATTTCTACTTCTTATACCAGTTACTGATTGAACAGTTAATCTTATCACTGTTGTTCTATCTCATGAAGCAACATGTAATTATGTCCTTGTTGTCACTTGAGCTGATCTTGCTTAAATAATTCAAAACAACTTCTGCATATAGAGAAAAACATACACTTTCTTGGTAGGTCTTAGATTTGGAGGCATAATTAGCTGATGTAAAGAAATAGTCTATCTGATGTGTTTTCATGACATTTCTATTACAACTTTAATACAAACATCTGATTTCCAGATATAACCAAAAAGCCTTTGGTTATTTCTAGTTAACTGAAACAGGCAAAGTCACCAAAATATAAACCATGACAAAACTTCTAAATGATACAGTATTTAATACAATCCTGTATTATTCAATGATTCTCTGTGTTGTAATGACTTCAGCTAATAGGCTGGTATGTGTTTTGTGGTATTTTTTGTGCTCTTTTCCATCTTTCACCTATTATCAAGAGGTGAAGTCACTCCATTTATAGGTAAAATTAGCTTTTTCACTTGAGTTTGTGGAGTAGGAACATGACTTCTATACAAAACAGAGAAAGCATGCACATCTGTTTGAAACTTTAACCATTGCTCATATTCTTCCTCTAAGATTTTTTCATTTAATTCCTACCTTCAAGAACTAATACTCCATATTGTTAAAAACTGTTCTGTGCAGTGTACCAGCAATGATAGGCCCATGATGTTATATGAGAAAATACACTTCAATATGCCTCTTGAAAGCTTTTTATGAACATCAGTGACTTATAAGACTCTGATATACATATATACACTGTTCTCATTAATGTAGTTATGCCCACCCCCCTTTAAAAACCTTTTGAAGCTGTTCATCCGCTTGCAGTATGTCAGAAGAAGAATGGATGGGAAATAAGATCCTATGCTTTTCTGTTCTACATTAGAAGCATGAGTCTATGCCACATCACTTGTGTCTGTACACCACTGACGGTAGGCTGGCGACACTGAGTCAATAAGCATGCATATTTCTAGCTAGGAATGCTTTTTCCACATTACAAAGCCCCGTTTATTTCATCCCAATTGTTGACAGCTTTCAATGAGGACACAGTGAAGAAATGCAAACAACACATTCTCCAATATTTGAGTACGTTCTAGGAAGGAGTTGTAGTATCTTGATAAAGTTCATGGATCTAGGCAAAACGTTAAAAATCAAGTTTTCTGAGATTCTCTTAAGCATCAGCTTTCCCATGTCAGGCTTCAGTCAAGAGCATAGCTTCTTTGATCTGGCCTGAACATTTGTAATAAAATATAAAATTAAGTATTCAGGGCTGATATATAGCAGCCTATGCCAATATTTAATAATAAGTTCTGTTGTTGAGATATGTAGGCTCTCTCACTTCATGCTTAAGTTTTGGTTTCCAGAGCTTTAGCTCTGGCAAACTTTATAAACCCTAAGGAAGATGTCACTGATTTTAGTGGTCTTTGACTCAATTTAATAGAAAAGATCCATTTACTATACAGGTAAAACGAAATGTAAAGTACAGAATCAGGCCCGGCACATCAAAATGCTGTAACACATTTTAAAGTATCCCTATAATTCTGTTCTGCCCAATTCTGTGGCTCTTTTTACTGAGCATTTTTGTACAAGTAGTCTGACTGACTTTTAGAAGCTGCTTTTTCCCAAGACTAAACAGCTATGCTACATCATTTCTACTGAACAATTTAGTTTTCAATCCCCTTTCCAGAATCACTTCAGTGTAGTGCTCCTGGCACAGAAGTTCAGTGTCTTTGAGAAGCAGTCTATGTGTTTGCAATCTCTATTGCAGTTTGGGGTTCTGTCAGGATGGGAGGTGCTATGCGCTAGAAAGTGGTTTACCAAAACAGATGATTCCAGCATCATTTTGTGTTGTTTTTTAAAATAACACAGAAAAATACTTACAATTTTTGTCTATATAAATATAGAATTACAGAAATATTTTTCTTATCTATCAGTAAGGCATGACACATTTTACCATTAAGAGCAATTTCTTACAAGTTTTCATGATTTCACCTTTCAGAAGATGGTATATATTCAAGTCATGCATATGCTAATACTGAGTTATTAAAAGTTCAGTCCTACTCTATTAGCATATAAAGGATTAAGTAAAATTTTGTTGCAATTAATGCATAATTTGCTATATGCCTTTTGTTTGAAAGTTACATTAAATAATGTGGAAAAAACTGCAGAAAGCAGAGTATGAAAAAAATGTATTATTTCTTTCATTACTAGCCCTGTATTAGTATGTTGAAGTAAAGGTCATTTCAAGCTATAAATATGGTAAGAAGAGTATTTCTCCTTAGGAGGACTGGAAGAAGAACAGGTAATGAAGGACAGAGTTGTGCCACAAGGAAATAATCAAATGATATTGCTGAGCTTGACTGAATTTTAAATATATATTTACTCTAGATTTTAATATCATAAGAGAAATTCATGCCCTTAATAATGTAAGATATGAATTAGTAAGGCTTGATCTTAATCCTTTTAACTACAACCAGCTGGGATCCAACTCAGATGCTTTGGTCTCCCACTTAATAAATCACAAGAAATATCTTATCAAACTGTTTTTCCTTTTCTTTTACACACATTTATCTCCTATAGTTAGTAGGGGGAAAAATGAGGTTCACTTCTTCCTCAGAGAAAATTTCTGTGAAGCCATGCTATTCTGCTAACACTTTTCTATGTATATAGCATCTTTCACTTGGACCAGTCCCCAAGTGGTCCATAGACCCTAAATACAGGGACATTTTTCCTCATAGTTTGTATAGTGTTGCACTGACGCAGCTTTGGGAAAGGGAGCATGGAACAACCTCTCCACCTAAACCCATGAAACGCCACCATTTTTGTAGACCAGAATTGGTACTGCTTAAGCATGTGAAAATTAACAAGTTACAGCCTCTCTTTGTCCCAGTTTTCTTCACGTGGATACCCATGCACAAGGAAGCACTCACATAGTTTCTACCAGGCAGGTTCACTGTCACCCATTCATGCTCACTAGGCAATGGTACCTGGCTGGGTGTCTCCCTGTCGCCGAGCTGCGGAGGGAGCCCTCGGGCGCAAGATGGCGGCGGGAAGCCCCTGAGGGAAAAGGAAGCTTCCTCCTCACCTGCTCCCGGGAACCTTCTAGAAGGAGGCGGTGCTGCGCGCTGACGGGAGCGGCGTGGCCGCCGGGCTCACCTAGGGCGAGCGAGGCCGGGAGAGAGCAGCCCACAAAGTGGTTGCTCAGGCTTTGTGTGGTTTGTGCCACAGGACCCCATAGAGCTGAAGGTGGCAGCTCTGTCCTGCGTGCAGGTAAGGAAAAAGGGTGCTGCTAGAGACTGTGGAAGGAGCGCTGAGCCCTGGAGCTGGTTGGGGTTAGGGTTAGGGGGAGCATTTCCAGGAGGAACTGGAGAGATGTTTACTTACAATCCTATTTTTGTGTTTTGTCTTGATCTGTGTTTTTTTTTTTCTCCTTTATTTATTTATTTATTTGTGGTTATTTGTTTTATGTTTTTGTTTTATTCTTTTTGTTTGTTGGGTTTTTTTCCCCTTCCTGTGCAAGGACTGCGGTTTTGGTTCATGTATTGGCATAAGTTATCTTTAGGTGGTTTTGTTCTGCCCTTGGGAAGGCCTTGCTCTCAAATCATCATCTCTTAGAAGAATCTTATATTACATACTGTGATGTTTTATTCATACGGTGTGTTTAGATAGGGTCAGTTAGCTAAAAACCGTGTTGATTGCTTCCCTGCCGTTTGGACCCATACATAAATGAGGAGAAAGTGCCATTCAATGTGTGCCGTTAGTTCTCATGTCCCCGTTATTCTTGGAGATTCCAGAGTCAAGTTTATGGTTTATAAATGCATATTCATATATATTGTATCCATATGTTACATGTGACAACTTTGGGCTAACATGATGATGGGGCTGTTAGTTAGTGAGGCACATGCTAAAGTATAGAAAGCCTCTTTTATTATGTACTTACATTTTAAGCTCTTGACCAGTAGCTTCTAGTTTCAATCTCATTTACATTTAAGCTAACTTTAAGAAGAGCAAGAAATCTTATGTGAAAATGAGTAGCTGTGCTGCTACTGGATGAAAAACGCACTGTTAGTGATCTTAAGACGCGGAGACTGTGCTGCTAAGATTTCATTTTTGCTGTACTGTATAAACTTTGGAAGGAAATAAATTGAATAGGAAACATTTAGCTTCTGTGAAGTGTTTTCGAGGATAAATGTAGAACTGCCTGCACTGTATTCTTCCCATTTTACCAAGGAGCAAGAAAATAACCAGCTAATCATTAAATAACTAATCTGTTCCACTCCTTGTTATTGAAATTAAGGACCATGTAAGTGTATGAATTCTGTGTGCTTTAACATGATCCTTCATGAATTTTAGAACATGAGAAATGGAGCACAGTGTCTATTTCCAGACAGCCTGATGGGAGGTCGGAGTAAACAAATACAAACCCATGTATTAAACATTGGTGCTATAATCTCCTGGACCTGTCTTATGTAGGCATGCTGATAATTCACTAAGCAAGAATTATCCTTAAGTTCAGCTACTCTTTTCCTTTTAGACTTGGAATACTGTAAGAACTTGTTATAAAAGCTTGTGAAAGTAATTTCACAGGACACTTGGCCTTCTCTGGGTATGTTATGCTGAGGCAGGGAGAAACTGATGGAAATATAAAGATTTACATGACTGAGAGAGAAATGTATAGAAAAAAAGTAAGGTTCTGGTATCACTTAAAGTGTGTGAATCCTGATATATAAGATCCATGCATCCTGATATCTTGGGTTTAACATGAGTTACAATATATAGATATATTTAAATCAAGACTTTTTAAAAAGAAAAAAATGGCAGTGTATGTTGCTTTTCTTGTTTGTTTTCTGTAAGTTTTGGGAACTATTTTCTTACAAATGGAAGTTTTGATTAAGTGAGAAGTGTAAGTGTAGTTACCTCTGCTTTGAAGGGTTGGATAGAAGGCAGCTGATTTCTGCTGCTGTAGGATGTTATGCGTATGACTGGACTCTAGTCAGAGTTGTATTTAGTAACAGACAACATCATTCAGCTGTGGACAGTATTCCTATCCTAATTCACAAATACTTGAATTGTTTACTGGACACTGTGAAATGTATTTTTGTATTATTCAATAATGAAAGCTATTAACCAGCAGTGAGGCAGTAAAGCAAAATGCATTATGTATGAAACGGGTAATCCTGACAATTGACATTTGAAAGGATTTGACCCAACTGACTCAAATCAGATTTACATGAGCTTTACTTTTTAAATAAATAAATAAATAAATAAATATGTTTTAAGTTGAAATACATCCAAAGTTCACATATGTGATTTCACATAATTTCTTACTGCGATAATGTGTTCTCCTGCAAGGTTCATGGCTGACTTTTCTTTTGTTTGCTTTAGCAGAGATTTAATTTTTAGATTTGAGGCATGAACAGATTTTTCAGGGACCAAAACTAGAGCAATTCTCACTTGATTTGTAAAATATATTCACATGTGCAAACACACAAATGAAATGGTAAGAGAATGACATTATGAATCATACCATTAATAACTTGACTCTTTCATAGTGCTTTTGAAAGTCAGTGATTGAATTGTAGTAAATATATATTTGAATGTGTAGAGCATTGTTGCATTAGCTTTGGAGTTGTAAATTTAAGTAGCTTTATGGAGGATTTGTTGTTTGTTTCATTTGCTTGTTTTGTTTCTGAGGTATCCCAGTATTTCTTTCTAAGAAAATGGGAATAGCCATGCTTTTCAGGGGGATATGTTCACCTCTTTTCCAAGATTCCTGTTCTCAGCCTTTAGCTTTCTATGCATCTCTAGTGCAGACCTCTTTGACTACTAACAGCAGGGCTGTTTTCTAGTGTTACTGATATGTTAGTAAATTTGCTCCATATTCTCACAGTTTTCTGGAATAAGTTACTAGATATTTTTAAAATATTTGCTGAGTAGTTGCTAGATGCATTTTTCCAAACTGGGCTGTGCATACTATTTTAATAAAAATGAGACATCAGCTTCATAAGGATTCATTTAAAACAATTAAAAGAAATTACCCTTTATGCCATGCATCAATGTGATTGAGTTCAATTTGTCCATTCAGAATGCTCATTGCCTGTTGTGTATTTATAGTTCTGTTCACTGTTTCCAGTGTCTTGATACAAGTTTTAATGAACATTCCGCCTGGTATTTGCAGATTAGTATCAGGAACACGGTATTATGTTTCAGTAAGAATTTACCATTTGCTTGTTTCTCACACCTTGGCTGCTGCTTCCTGTGGCTGCAAGAATCTGCCTTTTGGTCATTAACTTTTTATTTCCTCAAGTGATGGAAAATAAAAAAATAACCAACTATAAAAATTCTCTAAAGAAGCAAAGACTCTGAATCAGGAGAGCATGCAACTGTAAGCAAGTTGTGACTCACACTTACTTTATTCTTTTGTGGACTTAAATGGATGTGGAGTGATGTTTTGTCCTTGTGATAAGTTTCCAGTTTCATTTTGTTCATCACTGGAAGAAAAAATCAAATTAAAGAAACCTCATTGAAGTCGGTACCATCATGCTAATAAAAAATAAATCAAAGAATAAATCAGCCCCTTAGTAGATTTAGAGTAAAATCATTTGAGGGAGCGAATTTGAAAGCCTTGATAGCATAGCAAATTGTCTGTTTCTCTTTGAGGTAGGTCTTGGGATATGATCATAAAATATACCATGTTAGGGAATGGATACTGTGGATAAATACTCATGGCTGCAAAATAACTTATGCTTGAAACATTATGGAGTGTGAAAATGAGTTCAGGTTTGTTGTTATCATTTATGCCTGACCTCAAAAAGAGGGGTGGGTGAGGAAGGGAAACCTTGTCAGGCAGTAGTTCTGTATGTTTCTAAGCCTCTGCCTTTTTGATCAAAACTTAACCACCATCAAAATGAGCCACTTCCTTAAATGAAACAAGGTATGTGTTAACTCATTCTTACTGTCGATGAACCCTGGTATCAAGAAATAGTGCTTTTTCTTCTGGAGTGAGTACCTGAACTCTTTACCACACGTACTGCTTTTCTGTGATCCTTTTAAGTAAGAAATAGCAGTTGAGTCTTGTAATAAGCTACAGGAATTCTGACTCAGGTGGGACCAAATAGAGCCTAGAACAGATTTAGATTCTTCGCATCATACTCCATTAAGTAGTTAAAATATTAATACTCTGTCTACTGTTCAAGGTATGATCTGACAATTGCTAAATGAAGATAATAACGAACAATGATAATATTTAAACTGTGCCATTTATATTTAGTATATTGGACAGAAGAGCAGGTACATTTAAGTTCATAGATAGACAAAAGGGAGCAAATGTCAAGTTTTTTCCGCTCCTACTCTCCATCCTGTCCATCTGGACCGTTTGTCTGACTAGTTACTGAAGTCAGCAGTACAGGTGTCAAAGCATTCTTTTGAAAGCTGGGAAAATGGCTTGGCAAGATTCATGTTACCTTCTGTTAAACGATTTTGTTTATTCTTCTTATTTTTTTATTGCCTTCAAAGTGTTAGTGCTGGAGCTAATTAGAGGCCCTTGGACTACTCTCTTCAGCCTTTTATACTTTTTTAACTCCACCCCAGTCATCAAGAAAGCCTGTTTCCACACTTTGCTGTGACTGCCTTTCTACCCAGTTCCATTCTTTTTTCCTTCTTGTATTTTTATTTTGTCTGAGTTAATCTCTAACTTGTACCACCATCTGTTACCATTCACATGCTCTCCTGACAATTTCTGTTAATGTACACTTTTGTCTGACTGCCATTTCCATTTTCTGTTTGCCTTGCCTTTTGGTTTGGAGCTTGTGTTTATATTGCTTTCCTGTTTTGTTATGTGTATCTATGACATAAGACATATGACACACAAAAATAGTGTATGTCATTAGAAATACTTTGATTTTTGTAGGTGTCTTTAGTGATAATGTTTTGTTGAGAGAAAGGACCTCATGCTCTTTATATTGCTGTTGCCATAGTATTCCTTTGCTATGGCCACAAGTGACAGGCAACATACAGTGATGACTGTATGAATAGTTTGCTTTCAAAACAACACTTTCCCCATGGGGTAATGTATTCCACTGTGTATGTAAGCAGA